TTTCAGCATTCAGCGCTGCAGTACTTTGACTGACATTTATTCCGTCATGCAACGCTGTACTGAAATACATTTTATACCATTTTTTCGGGACAGATAGAGCTTTCTTTTGGTGGTATTTATTCACCACTACGGGTTGTTTTTTTTACTGTATAATAAAAAAAGTACCGAAATTTTTGAAAAAAAAACAAACCCTGTTATAAAACATTACCCAATTTTTTTGTAAAATATAAAAGACGGGGTCAAGTCGGGTAAATAGACACCAAACATGTCAAGCTTCAAAATTGCGTGCACCCGCTAAATCGCAAAAAAATACCACACTCAAAATTGACCATAGCCGACGCTTTAAAAGCTTACCGCTCATCAGTTTAGTGTTATCGGTGATTGATGACCCTAGAATTATTGCTCTCATTCCGACGTTCGCGGCGATATGTAACAATGGCGGTAAATCGTTGATTTCACACGTAGGCGGGCTTGACGCATGTTTGCGTGTGCATGTGGGGGCTTTATTGCTATCACACAGGGAGCAAACAAGCTCCCTATGTGATAGCCAATTTGCAGTGACAGGTCCTCTTTATGGAGACATCAGGGGTCTTTATGACCCCTAATGTCACCTAGGGACCCCCAGAGAAGCTGATGAAGCAGAGACCTGCTTCACCAGCTTCTCTCCGGTTTCTGTACCGGAGTGACACTGAATGCAGGCAGTGATGTAATACACATCACTGCCTGCATTCAGAAGAGGAGATCAAACGAAGCTTGAGTACTGAGCTCCGTGTGATCTCCGGCCGCAGATCTGCTGTGCTGGTCCAGGGCTCACACCGGGAACAGCGAAGCCCGGGATCGCCAGCAGCGGCGGCGGCGGAGGGGGGGGGGGGCCCGCACACCCGACCGGATATTACAAGCGATCGGGCGTCTCTACAGACGTCCGAACGCTTGAATAGCCATCGCTGGCTGTTTACATTCAAAGCCGGTTTCCTGATCGTGCACGCCGCCTGGCGGCGGGCACGAGTGGAACAGGATAGGACGTCTTAAGACGCCCACCGGCCCTCAAGAAGCAGGTAGTTAAACATGGAAAACAAAATAGGAACGGGAATGCAACACTCGCCATACTTTTCTAGTACCCACAAGCAATTCCTGAAGTGCAAAGTGTGTATTTGGTCAAATGGTTAATGACGTATAAGCACTCAGAGGTCCACTGAGGAGACTTCTCTGAAATTCCTGCTGCCATACCACGAAGTCTTACCCATTTGTAGGCTTATGGAGTATAAAAGCTTATTCTACACCTGCCAGCTTACTTTCACAGCCGAACTTTGATTTATTAAGATGATTTCCATATTTTCTTTGACATTTACCTTTTAAAATATTCCACTTCTCTTTCAGTTTCATCCATGTCCACGCTATCGAGGTCAATGTCTTTTGGAAGAAATACGTCATCTGGAAGTCAACACAAGTGCCTCTGTTAGTCTACAAACACAGTCCATGCGATAGAAAGCAATCAATGTGATGGGAAAACAAACAGCAAGCGTTCATTATGGAAGTTAGAAGAAAGCTTCAGGCTTGCACAAAATATTGAGATCAAATTCTGGTTTTACTGCAAAACTGTCAACCAAAAAGAAAATTTTTTTGGCTCGAAACGGCAACAAAAGCTTGTCAGCAAAATCACCCTTTGCATGCTGTAGGGACAAGGCTGGGTTCACACCTAGGCGTATCGAATATGCGCGTTTGACCGCGATTCACGGTAAAAAAAACGAGCGACAAATGCGTTTCCGAGGTCTACCTGGCTGTATCCCAATGGATACGCGCCCCAAAGAAGCTCCTGTACTTTTTCTGGCGTACGGCGTTTTGTAGCGTGTTCATAAATGGCCTGTGATACACCCAGGTGTGAACCATACCCATAGGAAATAGGATTTCGGCGTAGGAACGCGCTACAAAACGCCCAGGTGTGAACCGGGCCTAAGTGTTTTACCACAGGAATCTCCCAAACAATACATCCTCTAACTGCACAGCTGCTGGGAACTGACTTCTAAGATGTGGTGCAGGTACCGTTAGGAGGTCAGGGAACATGCAATTCCTCCCTCCTATTAAAAGTGATGACAGGTATTTTTGGATGTTTGAAGTAGCACTGCAGATGTGAAAAAGCTATGAGAAGAGTTATGGTTTAGAAGGAAAAAAATAAGGGTGTCAGAAGGAAGAGGAAGGGGGTGCGAGAATAAAGCGGAAGGGGGCGCGAGAAGGAAGAGGGCGCAGAAGGCTTTTTTTTTGAGGGGCACAGAAGGGAGGAAGAGGGGCACAGAAGGGAGGAAGAGGGGCACAGAAGGGAGGAAGAGGGGCACAGAAGGGAGGAAGAGGGGCACAGAAAGGAGGAAGAGGGGCACAGAAGGGAGAAGGAGGGGCACAGAAGGGAGAAGGAGGGGCGCAGAAGGGAGGAGGAGGGGCACAGAAGGGTGGAGGAGGGGCGCAGAAGGGAGGAGGAGGGGCGCAGAAGGGAGGGGGATTAGAATGAAGGGACTTAGAAAAACACCATGGCTATGTGTGCCTAACGTCTTACCAATTGAGTTATTGACTTTGTCTCCTTTCTTTTTCTTATTCCTTTTGCTCTTGCCCTTAGGCTGTGGGGACTCCGCAGTGGTCTGGGTCTTGCTGTTCTGCTGCTCGCTGATTATCGGGGACTCATTAACTGCCATTGGCTTCTCCTCCTTTACGTGATTAAACTGTTTCTTATGGATACCGTTGCTGCCTTTTTTCTCTTCCCTTTTCTGCTCAACCACAGGTGCAACTTCAGGCACTCGGGCTTTGGTTTCGTTTTGGATTTTCAGTTTTGGTGAGACTTCGGGGAGTTTGGGCATGTCCGATTTCTTCACCTGTTCCGGACTGAGTTTTGGAAGTTGTGATTTAGGCTGCTTCTGTTTGACATGGTTTTCCTTGTGATGGACCAAATCCAAAAGAAGAGAGAGCTGCTCTTCCTGCTTTGCTTTCAGCTCTTTAGCAACACATGGTTTTGAGTCTCTACCAATAGCATGATTTGGTAGCTCGATCACTGCCTCTGGTAACTGACTGGGCTCAGTTTTTTGAGTCTGCCTGCCAGGGAGTGGAATACACACTGTATCCTGCTCCAAGGTGCCATTGGGAAGTGTCTCAGAACTAAGTTCCTTGGTGGGGACAGAGATTAGTGTTAGCTGATCTGCCTTATGAGAGTCCCTATGAGAGCGATCTTTTTTCTTTTTCTTCAGGGCCTGACACTCCTGGTGTCGGTGAAATTCATGTTTGAACCTTTCCTCGTCCTCACGCTGCCTTTGCTCTTCAAGAAGTTGTAATTCTTCCTGTTCCCTGGCTTCAGCTTCTTGCCGCGCCTTTTCTTCCAGCTGAATGTAAAGGAAAATAAGACAAATATGTATATATATCTTATACAAGAGAGATATTTATGATCATACCGATGAACCTCACAAGAGAACTTTAAATAGAATTGCATCACAATGTAGATTCCATTATGGGAGTGTCTAAATTATGAGACTTCACAGCCTCCTATCTGCTATGGCAGCTTTTCTCAAACTATTAACCCTGAAGAACCCTTATTTTTAGGTCTCATTGAAGTTCTTACTAGAAACTGATTATACCTACAGCTCATGGTAGATTAGCATATTCAAACTGGAAAGTTTTTAAAAGTAATGTAATGTACCCATTGGCGCATTTGACAACCATGGAAGATAATTTATTACTGTCTAAATAAAATTAAAAAAAACGGACTGATTTTTATTTTAATAAAGTGCCACTAAACTCAGGAGTTAAAGCGACATTAAAGTCAGATTTCTTTTTTTACCCTTCTCAATCCTGCTGTAGGTACTTACCTTAAATCATGTTCTTCTTTACGGTTGTTTTCAGCTGTCACTCCAGCGCTGGTGCGGGTCTCCGATCCAGTGCTGACTACTCTGTCCTCCTTCTCTCATGTCCCACAGTGTCTGTGCGGGTGCACGCTGCTCCATAGACTTACCTTGCGTCTCTCCTCGTCTCCCGGCTGAACATCTGAAATGCGCACGAAGATCCTTTTTCGGCCACCCAAGACTCTTCAGATGTTTGGACGGGAGCGCGCAGCGGAGACACAGGTAAGTTTAAACTCTTTTTTAAAGTTATTTTTTTTAAATGCTTTTGCATATATCTACTGCTTGCTAGCAGTAGATATATGGAAAAACCGCTGAGGGTTTATTAACCCTTTAAAACTTAATACATTCAAGCACCTCAACTGTAAAATGTATCTTGTAGATCCTCAAATCTCTGAATTGGTGCGGACATTGTCCTTCCTTCTGGAGGGTGACTACATTTGTTCCCCATGGTCCGTGTGTGTGTTGTAAAGTAGTCACCGCTCCAAGGGGAGGGGGGCTCTTACTTCATGTAATTAGACAAGTGGATTATAAATGGGGAATATTACCTATTATAATCTATTTCTCTGATTAAATGATTACAGACAGGCCTCTGGATCACAGTTTGAAACTACGTTAGAATGTGTGACCAGTGACGTGGTCACACATTTTAACGTAATCTCACCCAGTTTTTCGGCGGTGGAATAGGTGAAGCATTCCAACGCTTTCTCCACTCTTCCAGGGCAGATCGGCATCGCAAGTCGCATGTGCAGGAGAACCGATCTGTCCTGGAACAGCTGTTCGGTCCTGAAATTTCACTTCTCTCCGACTGCGATCTAACATTCTACCGCACTCACAAAGTGAGTGACATTTCAGGACCGATCAGCAGTTCCAGGACAGATCGTTTCTCCTGCACATGCGATTTGCGATGCCGATCTGCCCTGGAACAGCTGGGAAAGCGCTGGAATGCTTCACCTAATTGCGGTCACACATTCCACCGCCAAAAAACTGGGCGGGATTCTAACATAGTCACAACCTTTGATAGAACACCGCCGTACCCATGTGAGGGGTCTGGGCTGCCTCTTACATTGGTATCAACTGTACCGGGGCAGCATGGCAGAGGTGACTGGGAAGGGGGTGGAGGAGGCCGGGCCCCAGCAGCAGCAGGTAAGAAGAGTTGAGAGGAGGTGCAGGGAAAGGGACCCCCCGGCGAGCAGGCCAGCCCACCTGGGACCCTGAGAGTCTCAGGTGGGCTATGCAGGATCTATGGTGTGCTCTGCAGGGTCTAGGGTAAATCCAGCACGCTACTGCAACATTAGAGACCGCTGGGGGGGATAGGGGCCAGTGTGATCCGCTCCCGCTCCCCCCGTCTTGGGAGGGATGCCCAAGATAAAATCTTGCACCAGGGCCCTTTGGTTATTAGGTCCGCCAATGCTTGTGAGGACTTAGACACCATTTAGAAAAGTTTCTCTCACTTCCTGGCTGTGAAGGCTGGACAAGAAAAGAGGGGGGAAGGCAAACTTGGACAGAAGGACAAACAAAAAAACTTCTACACCTGTTTATATTGTTCTCTGTATCCCAAATGGGAATATTTCCCATCACCTCGGGGCCCTGTAACATCCAGTCACCAGCGCACAAAGTAAAAGTAAAACTCCACAGTTGGGACATAGGTGTCAAATAAAAACCCGACTTGTGGGTTTACCATTCTGGACTATCAAAAGAGCACTTTTGGTTGCAGCTGGGCTTAAATGAGGTGTACCCACACAGTGGAATTCTCTTATTTATTAAAGTATTGACAAGTGCCATCATTCTGAGGAACCAATCAGATTTCACTCTACCGCTGAAGGCTCATTCTAAAAATGATTCATTCTTTTGACTACTGTACTATATAGCACTTAGCACACTGCTCTAGGTGTGGTCAACTATACTTGAAATCCTCAATGTAGCCATGGTGCAGGTCTAGCGGCTGCTCAACAGTAACCACACAAAATAAAAAAAACACATATGGCGTACCAGTGCAAACCAAAATTGAAATGCTCATCAACAAATGACCTGCTGTGGCATGCATTTCTCTACACAGGTAATTCTGTGATTGCACCACAGTCTACCAAAACGAAAATTCCCTTTTATTTGAGACTGTGTGCAGATGTTGTAGCAGATAGTGAAAGGAGAACCTGCGGGTGCCAAGACAGTTATTACCCATAATGCCATGCAATCCCTCCCTGCATTCATCCTACTGAAAACTAATTTTCTAGCAAAAGCAACTTATAGTGCTGTAGCGCACAATTATAAAACCATGAAGAAATATTATACACAGGTTTGCTGGCATTTTTTGGGGTCAGGGCTTTTCCCCATAATTCTCCTAAGGGTAACGGGAGGACACAAACTAGCGTCCTCCCGTCACCCAAAGCACAGTATATTGCGAGCTGCCACCCAGCTGCGTGAGTGACAGCTGGCTCTGCCTATATAGAGGCAGAGTCAGCTGTACCCTCCCCATCCAATCCGCCAGTCAGCGCTGGAGGATCGGACAGGGGAGGGGGATCCCTGCAGGGAGCTGTGAGTGACAGTCACGGCTCTCTGCAGGGATAGATCGAAAAGTGAGTGAGCGACGGTATGTGTTCGCTCACTTCCCGATCTATTGAGCCGACCTGTGACAGTTTCATTGTCACAGGTCGGCTCAGATTATGAGGCTGAGTGATTTTTACTCGCCTCATAGTTCTCCTTTAACCCAACTCCCTACAATAGGCAAAGGCAACTAAGAGGTTTGGAACAGCCTGTAGAACAAGGCTGTTGTGCAGAGGTAATGGCCATTTCTTTAAAAAATGCTATCACAGTGTGAGCACGGAAAGTTTTTAGGGCGTAGTAACAAGTACTGAAGAATTACCAGTTTTCTAAAGCTGTACTATAAAAAGTGCCAGTTTTAAGTTGAAGTACAGTGAGCAGTAAAGAAAAAAACCCTGGAGCTTTAAGCTATAATGTGCTATATGGCAGACCAAATCGATCCCCTCCAGCACTGCGCTCCTTCCTCGAGTCTTTGGCCGATTGAATGGCCGAGCCCTGATGACATAATTCCCGCGCATGCGTACAGGAGTAACTTCATCTCGGGATACTAAACTTGTGCACTGAGCGGATGGACAAAAAAAAAAAAAAATTTGCTGACAGGCAGCACAAAGCTTTTATGACAGAAGAGACTTCCACAATCTTTTCCTATCATAGAAAGCCTGCCAGTTATCAACTTTATTTTACTTTCAATTTAAAACAGCTATCCACTCGACACAACAGTGTTTACTGCACATTGCGCCTCATTTTACAATTTATAATTGCAGGCTATAGTGTGGAGCCTGCGTTGTTTTACAATGTTTGCTGGGTAACCTTGCAAATAACAATCTGTGATAGGGGGGGAGGGCAAACCTTTATGATCCCCATCAGGACCTAAGCAAGTACGAGTATGTATTGACCTCCAATGTCAGTAGTGCAGGGGAGTTTCTTTTCTTTATTTCAAGTACTGAGACACTTTAAACATGTAAACATTTAGCGCTGTGCGCACCAATAATTGATATAGAACTATTAGGTGGTCTCAGCAAAACTGATTCACTTGGGGCCCTTCATATTACTCTCCAGCAGAGAGATAAAGTGAAAGACACAGGGATCCCAACCTGAAAGAAGCACTTTCAGGGAGGTGTCCCTCTCATTTCCGGGAGGTGCTACCCCCCCCCCATCCACGGAGGAGAGGTTAGGGGGGCTGGGAGAGAGCACCCCCCTGAAATGATGGCAGAGAGCACAGGAAGCAATAGCTTCTTTGCTATCTGCAGGCTTTTTTTTTTTTTTTTTTTATTCTGACAGTTGCAGTCGTCAGAATGAAAAAAAAAAAGGCATACGATTGCATAGCTAGATTCCTATTGGCTATTGCACTTTGCAATAGCCAATAGGAAACTAGGTAATGCACCCGCCCACTGCTGCTTTCAATCAGCAGACGAGGACCTGATAGAAAAATTCAGGTCCCCCTCTGCTGATTGACAGCAGCAGTGGGCAGGTGCATTAGCTAGTTTGCTATTGGCTATTGCAAAGTGCAATAGCCAATAGGAATCAAGCTATGCAATCGTATGCCTTTTTTTCTTTTCTGACTGACGGTCGGAGCTTCCCGGAGAGTTGAGATGTCTGAAGACATTTGTCTCTCAAAATGTTATAGACTTCCAGGGAGAGATTAATGGGATTAGCGGCCCTGCAAATCAGTCTTCAACATAAGACAAGGTCAGGCTAAAAAATAATATGTGACTGTACCACACAAATTCAATTTGGCAGCTCGTGCCTTCTCCAGTTACAGGAAGATTGCAACTTAACCACCCGATACCCAGCACTTGCATACTCCTTAGGCCTCATTCACACTGGCAAGCCCTCCTTTAGCTTTTCTAAATGCAGAAGTTATCTGGAAGTATAAACAAATGTTATACTTCCCAGAGTTGTCTTGCATGTAGATGGTACTGTTTAAAGCCAAATTTGTATTTAGAGCTTCGAATCAGATCCTGAATGCACAGAATTCTATTTGGTCCATTTTAGAAATGCGTTCTAAATGCATATAAATGCAAATCTGAAACTCTGAGTGTGAAACAAGTTCACCCGTATAACACTAAATTTATGTTTGCAGTGTGAAAGCATGGTGAAGCCATCCACAAATAAAAATGCGTTTTTTTTTTTCTTACTATGCTACAATTTTTTAAAGTGCTAAAGTAAGGACTCGTCTTAAATGATGCCTCATAATCTGATCTTCTTTCCTGTAGTTTTTAGCTGTCCCTCCAGCGCTGGTTTCCGATCCAGCACCGACTCCTCTGTCCTCCTCGTCTCCCGGCCGAACATCCATAAAAAAAAAAAAATTAGAAAAGAAAACAATTTTTTTTAAAGTCCCGGCCCCCCACATACACACGCAGATATGCGTCAGGTGCGCCTATGTGCGAAAACAACGATTGCGCCTAATGTGCCACACAGGTTACATATCGCCGCAAATGTCGGAGTGAGAGCAATAATTTTAGGGCCATTAATCACTGATGACACTAAACTGATGAGCGGTAAAAGCGTTTTAAGCGTCGCCTATGGGCATTTTTGCGATTTTGCGGGCACACGCAATTTTAAGGATTGACATGTTTGGTGTCTATTTACCCGACGTGATCCCGACTTTTATGTTTTACCAAAAATATGGATAAGAATAAATGTTTTAGAACAGAAAGTAGGGAAACTTTTTTCTTTTTACATTTAAGGCTTTTTTCATTATATAGTAAAAAAAAAAAAAAAAATAACCCCCC